CATTTTACAACACATGATAACTGATACACAAGATTGCGCCAGTTGCATTTGTATGAAAAAAGATGGTATGATAGGAGAGACATGAATGTAGTGCCGGTGTCCTGACATTTTATCCTACCCGTCAGATTGTCCTACCAGGGTTTACTGCGCATGCGCACATCAATATTGTGTCCTTTTTCTCACGCTGAATAACAATATTTAATATATCTGCATTACTGTAAGGATAGGTTTATGGTTGGGGTAGGTGTAGACTTTAATAAAACACAATTTAATAGGTAGAAAAAAAGATGTATTGTTGGTTTCCTGTAGCTGTATCCCTTCTAGCCACAGCCACAAATATAACACATAATTACTGTATTTGTATTACTGTAAGGGTAGGTTTAGGATTGGGGTAGGTGTAGACGTTAATAAAGCATAATTTTACAGGTAGCATTTACCGGTTTCAGACTTAAACTTTCAGTTCAGAATTAAATATTCCAGACAGTGTCACCGTATAATAATGACTTTAATCTTCTTCTAAAAATATACATTAGCTTGAGTGAACAACATGAATTTGTTACACAAGGGGCAAGTATTTAGCTGAAACATAGTTAGCTATAGGCAAATGCACAGGGTTGGGGAGTAACGAAATACATGTAGCCTAACGCTGTTATGTAGGCTATTTAACATACAAAATATGAGTAAATTCGTTATAGTTACATTTATGTATTTTAGATTACCAAAGTGATTATTATAATGTACAATGTTTGGAATTTTTTTGCCAATGGGGCAACTATCTGAAGGGAAATAATGAGAAGAATAGCAAAGTATAGTAAACGGTAAAACCGTTTGCACTGCAAGTGTGTTCATAATTAAGATAATAAATTAAAATAACATGGTAAGATACAACAGTTTGCAATATCAAGCAGCAAAACGAGCCGTTTTGTACAGTTAAAAAGCCAGACACCTTAAATTTAAAATTAAAATTAAATTAAAATCTGCCATTGTTGATAGAGGCTATTTACAGTAACTTCACCTACTAATATCTAGTTGGGATAGACATCATTACAAAAGACGCCTATCAAATAACAGCATGGTGTAGGTAGTAAGACGTAGTGATATATCTGATGCGATCGATAAAAGTTCGAATCCACATTTTGCCAAACTCGTTCTTTTCCTGTTTTTCTCAGTTTTCCCCATCATATCAGATCTGAAAGGCATTTGTTTTCAATAAAAATTAAGGAAATATTCGAAAAGTGGAAATAAAGCTGCATCCATTTAATAATTTTAATAAACACGATAATTTACACTCAATGGGCCTCATTTACGAAACGAACGTACGACAGAAAATTGAGCGTACGGTCGTTTTAACGCAAAATTTGGAATTGATCAATATGGACGTGAGCGGTGGCTACGATCAAATCTCACGTCTGGTCTCAGCTCGTGTACGCAAGTTTTTGAGTTACCTGAAGTTGCGCACAGCATAGTAAATACGGTGGAGAATTGTAGATTGACAGCATTTTGTTCATTTTTATATTCCTGACCGTCAAATGAAGCTCATTAATCGATCGTTAATCAGTAAGATTAGAATGTCTTTTTTTGGTGTTGTTTTGTACAGGGCTTTAGCTTTATATGCGCGAATAGCAGCATAAACAAGACCGCGAGGATTCAATCGTCGCATCATGCACCTGCAGCGCTTCTGTGAAAGGAGAAAAACTGAAATTAATTTTATAAAAGGAATCAAGAAGGATTTTACATGGATATTAGAACATGAGTGAAGTATAAAGCCATGTTTAGGCTGCATAATGAATAATAGTTATGCAAACAAATGTTACAAATATGGCAAAAATGGATACATTTGGATTCTTGTGGTATGAGACAGGCGCGTGAGCCCAATGCCGTTTCAGTTTTGCTTGACATTTGTATGCTGTTTATAATGAATGCCACTATAGCCTAATTTGTGTTTTATTTTACAGTTAAAAATATAATTTTATAACTACTTATTTTTCATTCTTGTTCTGTTCTGAATACCGTTAAATTTAAAATATTTGTTGTAGAGTGAGGGGAACTAAATAGGCTGTTTATATTTACCAGTATTTTAATATACATATAAATTACATATATTAATGTAGCCTAATTGTTTGCAATTACAAGGTTAACGGGTGTTTTTGGAGTAAGATCAATTTCTCTTTAGCGAGATTACTTCCTCTTTTTGGCCGGGTTTCGTTTCTCCGTGTCGTAAACTCTAGGGCGAGGCTTCTAAACCAGGGTGTTTTTAGGGGCGTGATATGCAAATGAGGATTGTTTTCTGGCGCCACATTTATCAACATACGATCATTCATACGATGAGATTGGCGGCATATGAATGTTTCATAAATCACACGTGAACTCTGTCGTAAGTTGATTTGTGCGCACAGATCTGCGCTCGTTTCTACGTTAGATTGATAAATGAGGCCCAATATGTTATTGCATACTGTTTTATAACGTAGACCTACTAGTACTGAGGTGCAAATATATCTGCAACTATTTGCACTAAGTATAAATAGCATCTAATTACTATTACACTTAATGTAAAGAAAATACTACTATTTTTGCATAGTGTAGGCTAAATAGAATCTATGGTTATTTGCACTTAGTGTAACTTGATCTATTAGTGTAAATATCACTTAATGTAAATAGTATATATTCCTATTGGCACTAAACGCCAATAAACTTCGTAATAAATCCACAGCAGAAGAGTTGCGTGTCTGTGAGCAACACAGTGCTGTTTGGTCCCTGAATGAATCAGCATTTTGAAGGAATCGGCTGAGCTAATGATTCAATTAGCCTACATTCATAAAATCACTTCATTCCTGAATGAATCAGTCCTTTTGAATGAATTAAATGATTCCGTGAGTCATTCATTAAGATAGCTTTGCCACCACTTACTGGAGGTCTTAGTTTCATATTTAAAAACATAATCATAATATTTCATAAGATGTATTTTTAATTACTGAATAATAACAAAAAACAAAAACAAACAGCACGTGCTTTAAACAGTTAACACTGAAAAGACAGTTAAAGACTCTTAACTTATCGAAATCTACACTTGTTTTGTTTTGATTTACATTTCGGTTTGTATGCATTTGCTTTTCAGGCTTACAATGATAATATAACAGCTGAAAGCACATTGTTGTTCTATTTAGCTATTGATCAACAACTCAGCATGCAAATTACACTTAAAACTTGTAGAAGGAGATAATTTGGTTGAGAAGATATATCTAAGCAAATTTTAAGACCTAACAAATTTAAGTTTGCAAAAATTTATTTTATAGAATTCTTTTGAAACTCTACCTTTTGGAGGACCTGAGCAAAAGTAGAAATAAAGAAAAAAAGTGTAGTTTCTCTTGGAAAAAGAAAAGCCTTTAGGCCGTTTGTCAGAAGAATAACAGTTTTTTGTTTAAAGATAGCCTATTTCTCCAATCATGTTGTTTTGTGACATGACATTCACAATGTTTCCACAATGTCTTCAGATGCTTGCAATTTAATGTTTAATCTTAAAGACAAGTTACAGCTCATTATGTGAATTTTATTGTAACTATCAAATAGTTTTTAGTCAGTAGTACCACACTGTCACGGGTTGCTACTGAGAGGAGCACGGCGCGAGGAACGAGGAGACCAGGAGTACAAAACAGAGGAGTTTAAATCTTTTTTTCAGGGAATCACACGTAGCACAAGGAGTTGACAAACAATTCCAGACAAAGAAACTCAGAACAGGCTAGAAATAAATAGGGCAGATAACGAGGGGCAGACAGGTGATGGGGATAACTAATGACACACACCTGGAACAAATCAAACTACATTGGGACAGGAACAGGAAGGACCAAATAAGGAAAACAGGAACTCAACGGGAACCTAGACATGACAGATCGCCCCCCTCCCAGACGGCGCGTCCCGCACCGTAACAGTACCATCAGGGAGGGGGGGCGGGCACACTGGAGGCTGGTGCAGGACTGGAATAGGGCGGAAGACAAGGAGAGCCTCCAGGGCGGATCAGGGAGCCATGGTGGATCAGGGGACTCAGGAGGCCATGGCGGAGCAGACAGTTCAGGGAGCCATGGCGAATTAGGGGACTCAGGAGGCCATGGCGGAGCAGACAGTTCAGGGAGCCATGGCGAATTAGGGGACTCAGGAGGCCATGGCGGAGCAGACAGTTCAGGGAGCCATAGCGGAGCAGGGGACTCAGGAGGCCATGGCGGAGCATACAGTTCAGGGAGCCATGGCAGAGCTGGGGACTCAGGAGGCCATGGCGGAGCATCCGTGGCCTTAGCTGGCTCGGCCACGGGTATATGCCCCCCCCCCCCCAAAAATGTTTTGGGGAAATTTAGGAATCCTGGGGGGGGTCTTAACGGGGAAATTGGAGCCCTCACTGGGCTTAACGGAGAAACTGGAGCCCTCCCTGGGCTTAACGGGGTAACTGGAGACCTCCCTGGGCTTAACGGAGAAACTAGAGCCCTCCCTGGGCTTAACGGGGAAACAGGAGCCCTCCGTGGGCTATACTCGGGATCAGGAGCCCTCCGTGGGCTTAACTCGGGATCAGGAGCCCTCCGTGGGCTTAACTCGGGATCAGGAGCCCTTCCTGGGCTTAACTCGGGATCAGGAGCCCTTCCTGGGCTGAACTGGGGATCAGGAGCCCTTCCTGGGCTGAACTGGGGATCAGGAGCCCTTCCTGGGCTGAACTGGGGATCAGGAGCGGGCACTGGAGCGAGCTGTGGGGCTGGAGCCGACACTGGAGCGAGCTCTGGGGCTGGAGCCCTTCCTGGGCTTAACGGGGAAACTGGAGCCTTCCCTGGGCTTAACGGGGAAACTGAAGCCCTGGGCTTAATGGGGAAACTGGAGCCCTCCCTGGGCTTAACTCGGGATCAGGAGCCCTTCCTGGGCTGAACTGGGGATCAGGAGCCCTTCCTGGGCTGAACTGGGGATCAGGAGCCCTCCGTGGGCTTAACTCGGGAACAGGAGCCCTTCCTGGGCTGAAATGGGGATCAGAAGCCCTTCCTGGGCTGAACTGGGGAAAAAAAATGTTTAATGAATAATCTGAATATGCAAAAAGATAATAAAATAATTTAATTCAATAACTTTTTTTAATTCATTAAAAAAATAGGTTTAAATAATGTACTTACTAGAAGCAGCAGAATAACCACTTCTGGGTGAATCTACAAAATCAAAAGAAAGTTATTCATAAAAATTAAGTATTTTTTTAACAAAACTAGTAGTTATCATTCATTTCAGTTTTTGTCCTACCTGCACGTCTCTTCCTCCATTTATATATGATGACTCCAGTCCCAAACACCAACACCAGAGCCAAAACTATCAGCACTGAGAGAATCGCTGTTTTTAATGGTTCACTGAAATCAAATTCTAAAAAAAGTTCACAAAATGAATGACATTTTTAATGTCTTCACATCTAGTTACCAACATCAGAGCCAAAACTGTCAGAACTGAATTAATCACTGATTTAAATGGTTCCCTGTGATCAAACTCTGAACATCAACCACAGACTGAGAGAGTGACTTTAAATGTTTTTGTTTAAGAGCTCATTACCCAAAGTGACGTCCAGTTTGTTGTCCGGACTGAGGTGTGTGACAGAGCAGGTGTATTTGTGTTTGTCTGCAGCACTGATCTCCAGACTCTTCCTCATCTGGTACGTCCCGTCAGCATTGGGCAGCAGATCTCCTCCAGTGATCTCATGATCAGCTACAGGCTGCCCATCTCTGAACAGGGTCAGGTTGATGTGACGAGGGTAAAATCCTGTTGCCAAACAACTCAAACGAATCCCTCCATCTGAGTTTGCTTTCTGGGTGAGCTTGATATTGGGTGTTACTGTAACAAAAAAAAAGTAATTTCAAAGAACTTTTCACATCTATAAATGCATGGGTGTGACACCAGGGCAGCCAAAAAACAGGCAGGTAAACAGAGGGTAGTGACTCAATAGTACTAGGTTTTATATTAAATTAAAAAGGTAAAATAAAAGGGTGGGGAACAGGGAACCAAGAAGGACAAAAAACATGAAACATAAACAAAAACAAACCAAAACCAAGAGCATGGGCAGAAACAGGACCACAGAACAAAAGCTGAAAAAGTACAAGAGAAAACAAAGATGGGCTGATTAATTGAAAAACAAACAAACAAAAAAAACTACAAGCTGACTACGAAAGGCACAGGAAACAGGAAACACCACAACATAAAGGTCCAGAGACAACAAACAAGGGGTTATTTAACAATGTGTCACATTTAAGTTTATTTATGAGCCTGAAGGTAGTTTTTAAACATCTGGAATGTCAGATTCATAATACAAATGTACACGTGTCCTTGAGACTTACTCCTTCTATTCACTTGACCTCCTCTCTTTTTGAGGTAATTCCTGAGAGTTGTTATGCAAACTGGGTAAAAGAACTTTGCAAATTCCTGCTTAAATTCTTCCAGGTGGGGTTTGAGCACTTTTTGTGTAATATTTACAGTCACATTTACAGTGTAAGTAAATATGTTGTTAAAGTAACACAGCTCATCTGTGGTGCAGCCTCCGGCGGCATCTTTGATAATCATCTTTCCAGGCTTGTCAAGTTCCAGCAGCTCACAGACAACCAGTGCCTGATAAACATTAAGACCTGTGAGGAAAATAAGGCAGAGATTTTCAAGGATTGGCCCCTTCATCAAAAAAAAAAAAAAACATTTGTACAGTAAATTAAATTAAAAAGTAAATTTTCAATTTAATAAAAAATATCTTTGTAATAAAAATAAATAATTTTCTTATAGCCGATCTGTGAATTATTATTTTCAAAGACATTTCAAATATATATATATATATATATAAAGTTGAAAGCAACGACAAAGAGTGAGAACCTGAAACACAAATAGATTTTTTCTTTTTATTATGAACAAATACTTTATACCTATTTCTACCATACGAGACAGTAGCCTACACCTAGGTTACAATAAATCTTTTAAACTGTATCCAGTATTTATTTTTGATTTAAACCCTAAGTCTTGAAATCTTGGCAATTTAGGGTTAGGGTTAGCATGAAATAGCATAGGGTTAGCACTTTAATTTAGCATGAAAGTGATATGAGTGACGCGGTATTGAGGTCAGAGAGGACATGATATGTGACAATCTTCATTAATCTTGAATTTAATTAATTGAACAGGATTAGGTTTTAAAATTCGAACATGTAAAAACAAACTACTTACCATATGATGCAGATGGAAGTGAAAGTACAAGTAAAAAGACGAGGACAGGAGATCCTCTCCATTTGCACTGCATGCTTTTAGTCTTAAAATGTGTTCCAAAAATGTACCTGCACATTTTTAAACGGGTGTCTATCAACATATTAAAGGCTAGGGCGGTGTCTCTCTCACACTGTCTTGTTTCGTTTTGGTTGATGCAATATGACACTGCAAGAAAAAGACAAGACCCGCAAATCCGTGGCCACAGAACAGCAGAATATGAACGCAATGCGCAAAGTCTCTCGTTAAGCGTTTTCCTCCTGTTGAAAAACATTAACACTTAACATGGCGTAATGTATTAAGATACATTAAGTTTAATTGAAAGATCAAATTCGATATATAGTTATTATTTAATGTACTACAAGGCAAACAGATGGCTATGAACACAATGCACAAACTTGAATGCGTCTATGTTCGCTCGAATCATTCATGATCCAGCCTCATCTACAGGAGAGAGATGGATACAGAAGGGGGATTCAGAGAGAATGCGTTGTATATAGAAGACTGAGAGAGAGGGAGAAAAAGGAGGGGTGAGGCATGTCTGAAATCAACTGACAGACTGAGAGTGTTTTCTAACAGAATCTTTGCAAATCGCCTTTCCTAATAATGTGCTAATTAGCAAGTTTCACGATGAATGCGGCTAAAGTAAACAGTCTCTCTGAGAGCAGCTCGGAAGAGAGGGGCGGGGGCAGCAGAGCTCATTAACATTTAAAGGAAAATGCTACAAAAACGGCTTGATCTGAAAAGAGCTGTTTTTGACAGGGTAAAAAAAGTGTTTTTTACACTACCATTGAGACATTTTAACCAAACTATGTTACAGACTTTTCATTAAGACCCCAAAGAATCATATCAACTTGTGGAAAATGGGCATCCTATGACACCTTTAATGACATAAAAGATTTGTAAATATTTTACTTTTTTAACTAAAAATACTTAAAGGAAAGGACATGTGGCGTCCCATACTCAGAATTTGGTGGGAGACAGGTTCTGTTTATGTCACTGAATATGGGTTCCTGTAGTACATTTTATTTTACGCATTAAAGGTACAATACTATGTTCTTACAACATCCTGTAAGAGTGAATGAATTACACATCTCACAATGTGTTGCAAATGACACAATCGAACAGGCATAAAACTTAAAAGTATTGAGTAAACTACATTACTGATAAGGATAAAATAAGTGACTGTAAAATATACCATCTATAAATGGGAGGATATCAGATCCTGGGTTGTATTCACTTATAGGGAAAATAACTTCTTAAATGAAGAATTATTATGAAAAACAATCTGTGAAATAACATCATAGTGTTTGGCAATACTGTACAACAATGTCATGCCAATAAACCTCAACTGAAATTTTAAAAAGTGCAATTGGACTCTTTGTATCATTTTAGAACAAAATCAATGCTCTAGTTTCTACTAATTTAACACACCAAAAATGTAAATTACTTACTGTAAACCGGTCCTTAAAATACCGTGCTGATATCCGAAACAACAACTTCATCAGGATCATCAGGATGCTTGTTCCATACTCTCTTCAGATGCTGAAAAATAAATTAATAATTTAGTTTTATTTTAATATTCTATTAACTAACTTATACTTCATTTTCTCTATCAAGTGTAAAAGCAAAGAACTCACTATAAGTAGCAGAATAATCACCTTTAGCTGAAGCTATAGCGAAAAAAGTTAAAAAAAAAAGGCCAATTAAATATTGTGTCATAAATTACAATATCTGTATGTATCTTAAGCATCACATTTAGATTGGACAACTCAAACTCAAACGAGACTCAAACGTGACCCTCCAGAATCTGAGTCTGCTTTCTGGATGAGAGTTTGCTTTTCACTTGGGAAGGAAGGGAGAGAAAAATGAATAAGGTAATATACCAATCTGAATAAAACATGTGTATGATTGTTGCATATAATTGTAGTATCATGCTGTATGATCCATTGCAACCTGGCTATTTATTTATTTAAATTCAAGAAAATACCAGAAACACATGAGGGTGTACCTTTCCTGTTCACTTGAGTCCCTCTATTTTTAAGGTAATTCTTCATTATTTTTATACAGGCTGGGTAACATCTCAAGATTCTAAGTAATTAGAAGAACTCTGATATGTGAATTGTCCATTAAAAAAAATTCATCAACAGCAGAACCTCTGAAAGCAGTCTTGGTGATCATTTGTCAATGTTTCTCATTGTCACCCTGTTCACAATGAGTCATCACCTGAAAAAACTGCATGATCTGTTAGAAAATAAAGAAAGAAAAATAAAGAAAAAGATTTATCAACACATCTGACCTCAGATGCTAACTATTTTTATTATTTTACTTAATATGATTTTATATTCTATTCATGCAATATCTCACTCAAAGCCAGTCATAATTTAACCAACTGAACTTATTTTATTTGTGGTTGACAGATCTTAGACATTTTTATCTTTTTTAAATATGAGCAACCACATAATCACTTATGGTCAAAGTCAAAAGTCAAAGTCTGCTTTATTTAGTGGCGGCTCGTCCCAGTAGCTCCTCACTGCAGAACAAAGATCCAGGGGGGCGGGGTTGGATCCACATCTAGGGTTTAGGGGTGTAGATGGGTGGGTTTAGGGATCAGGGAGTGGAGACGGGTAGGTTTAGGTATATGTAAGGTGGGAGGAGTTGGATCTGGATCCAACCTTGCCCCCTGGATCTTGTGTTCTGCAGTGAGGACCATCTCGCTCGTCGGGGGAGGCAAAATTTTGAGATGAAAATGGGAGGAGGACGATTTAATGTTAATAAAATTCACAATTAATTTCAGTTCATGTCTCAGAATGTGCATTTTTTGTTTGTAATTTCACAGCTGTAATACCATAACATGTTAATGAAGTTGGAAAGTGCCGCTTTTCTATCGTGAATGTGCCGAATCTGCTGATGTAATTACAACCGCTAATGATAGAGAAGGGGAGGGGGAGGGGGAGGCCAGGGGAGAGCTTTGCTGAGTCTCAATGTGCCTACTTATACTACGCCCTTAAAGTATGTACTCTTTTGGTGAAGAAAAAGTACATACTTTTGAGTGTGTAGTAGAGGGTAGGCCTGGGCGATAAAACGGTATCGATATTTATCGACGGTACACCTTCTTCGATAACGATATAAAAAAT